AAATGCAGGAAAAAATAAAAAGAAAAGAGATGCGCCTTTGCTGAAAATTTAAATCTGCATTTTGGCTAAAAATTTCCCTCCCTTCTCCCCCAGCCCTCTTTCTTCCCCGCTTTTTGCATTACGAAATTTTCCCAAGTTTTCACCAAAAAAAAAGAAGAAAATTTCCCCAAGTCTCTTCCAGTTTTCACCCCCCAAATTATCTCCGCTCCAAAATCCCTAACCCTCTAAAATCCTCCTCCAAGTTCCACCACCTCTAGCAAGGCATAAAACCTTTAGATCTGAGTTTTCTCTCTTTGTAATTGTCAGTCAAAGTGTGTAAAATTTATGGCAGCCGCAGTGGTGGTTCATCCGCAAGATGTAGTCAATCGGAATCACCGTTATAGTAGTTTGATTTCTCCGGCTACAAGATCTCGCCGCCGGTTCACGAACCCAAATACTCCTGCAATTGTAAATGTAACAGCTCCTACCACTAACAGCGTTAACCATAGCCGTAGATCTTCACGGAAGGAAAATCTCACCAAGAAATCGGCAAGCAAAAACCCAAGTTTAAGTTGGGAATTCCACTGTCATTGCAAGCCTACTGTTCGGGCGTCTCTTTCCTCACCCGCGGCCGATTAAGCTCACAGCTGAGCGCTCACATAGTAATCTGCTCTTGATTTCGAACAGGTAATGCCATATCTAATGTTTAATTCCGCTGCTTATATGTTACTATGAGATAAAGAACGCCCACTAGATGTTTGATTGAATGATTGATATAAATGTATGTAGATATGGCATTCTCCTTTTTGAGTTCAACCATTAATGTGATGGTTTTAACTTGATCTGTTTGATTAGTGCCTGCACCCCAGGATTTTAGAGACACATTAAGATTCCGTAAAGGTTAAATGGCACGTAAGCAAACCTGCACTTAATATCATGTACATGACTTGAAATAGAACATGTATTAGCTTATTTTTTATAGAACATGTTGAGATTACTCAATTGATGATGTAAGTTAGTTAGGGGATTGAAATTTGTATTATGTTGCAATGTAGCTTGCAAAATTGTTGCATGATTTAGTTCTTGCAAAAGTATTGTTCTAGTAGAATTAGAAGATATGGGGTGCCATTCTCAAGGTAATTTATTTATTATTATTATTATTATTTTTTAAAGATTTTCTACTTAGCAGCAGTAGAATAATGTTGTTTAATGTAGCAGCTTTTATCAACTTATTACAGTTGCAGAGGTTTTAGGTTGTTGCAAGCAGTCTCACATCAACGGGTCTCTCTGAACCTTGCTTTTGTGTGGTATTCTTGAAGGTCTTCTTTAAAGAAATGCTTCCTCCATTGGTGATTTAGAAGTTATTGATGAGCAACAAAGAGACGAAGAGTACTTGTTCAGACTTCAAGTTGTCATTTTTACCTTTGTATATATATGATGAATTAGTTGTGGTAAGTGAGAGTGCTGAGACAACTTGTTTTTATAAGATTTACTCCCTCCGTCCCAAAATTATTGTCCAGTTTGGATTTTCATTTTTAGTTCAAATTGTACTAAAAGAGAAATTTCAAACTGGACAATAATTTTGGGACGGAGGGAATATCATTTATGATGAGTTACATTCTCTTTTGGCATGATATGATTATTTTAGCAGTTTTACTTTGTAATTTTCATATTATAATTTCTTTTTTTTAGTTTGATACTTTTGTGGGATATATACAACCAGTACAAGGGATTACCCGAGTTTTGTGAAGAAAAGTATACTACAAGAGGTTGTTGGGTTCCGTAGATGTATATTTTGGTGGGCATACTTTGACGATAACCCTTCTTAGTCGATGGAGGTTTAACAGTGAAAACCAACACTTTGTTTGACTTGAGGATAGAGATTCTTATACAATAAACGATAATTGATTTGTTATTATTTGTCTTCTAGGTTTTTGGATTGTTATAATTTGTTATTTACATCGTATACATTGGATGAGTACTATATGAATTCTATGACTTTTTAAAATTTATTTGGATATTTTTTATAATTTGTGTAATAGTAATATTTTATTTAATAAAAATAATAGGAAAAAGTGAGAGCCAATTTAACCACAATTGTTGTGAGCGATTTTCCACGGAATCATTCGTGGACAAATTATTCACAGATTTGTTATGAAATTTTTGTGGATAAACTAAACATGAATTAGTTACACAGTCTGTGGATAAAATTTTTCACAGTTTTGTCACGAAATAGTTGTGGATAAATTAACTATAAACTATCTACGTCTATAAAAATTAATCACGGATTATTCATCGGTATTCCGTAATAAAGTTGTGGTGTTTTTACTCAAAACCCACGAAAATTTATACACGATATATCCACGAAAATTTTTTTTCTTAGAAAAGTAATTAGCAACGGAGCATATAAAAACGTCTACGGGTTCGTGGATAAATTCGTATGAAATTACATCACCCACGGACTGTAAGATAAATTTACACACGAATATGTTTGTAGATAAATGATTATTTTCTTGTAAGCTCTCATCAATTTTTCCAGGCTCTACATCGAAGGGCATCTTGTATGCTCCCCAACCGGTAACCCTACTGGCTCGGAGCTAATTACGAGCGCCGTAGATTTCACCTTGAGATATAAAGACTTCACAATAGAAAGAGGGTTCACTGTCCTCACTCCTCAGCGACAACGGGGGGTATATTCCACGGAGTATTTTTACTCAATCTCACAACACCACAAGAAAGATCGGTTCTTAATACAATTTAAAATATAATAATATATTGTATGTTGTAACATTTTACTCTATTACTACAATAATTTTAAATGTAGTGTAAGTAGGGGTAGTAATAGGTCTTCTGCATATAAAGACATCTTTTAGGGTCACCATTGTTCAAAATATCCTCATAATATCATATTACAACACAAGAAAAAGTAGTTTAATTAATACTCCTCCCGGTCCTTATTATAAGACGTTTTGACGAACTTGAAATATTTGAAAAATCGCATTATAATAAATTTAGTCAACGGCTACATTTACACTATCTATTAGTAGTCCATCTGTTTATGTGTATGCGTAACTTCATTTGTCATCACTAATTTAGTAGACCAGTGTTTACTATATGCAGATTTACATAATTTACTTGGGGGGAAATTCCTATTAAGCACGCTCTAGAAATCAAAATCTGAATTAGTTGAGTATAAAGAAAAATTTTGGGCTTGTTTGCCCAACACTTAATTTGCATTTTTGTCTTATTTTACCTCTTAAAACACCTCTCAAACACAAATTTTGATACTATTCAAACAACTTTTTAATTTACCTTTTAAAAAATATTTCAAAAATTTATTTTTACACAATTTTCATCCACTATCACCAGACCACCTCCACCACCACCTGCCGCCACCGAACCGCCACCGGACCGGTGACCTGCCGACCGGATTCGCCGACGGTCCGGCGGCGACGGTGGGCGGTCCGGCGGCGGCGGCGATAGAGGTGGTCCGGTGGTGATCTAAAAATATTATTAATTTATTTAAAATATCACTCAAATAACTATTTAAATCTTATCTCAAACCAAATTTTAAATCACATCTCAAACCCAAATCAAAAACCAAAACAAAAACTAAAACAAAATGTTGACCAAACAAGTCTAAATTTTCTAAAATTAATTTTAGTTAAATTTCTCATATACCCTTGGTTTATCGAAATAGGAAACTTTTGTGTTGGTCTGTGCCACCTTAAGCATGGTTTAAACATAGAGTAACACAGTTGGTGCCTTCAACACTTAACACAGTGTTACTCGATTACTGAAACAGAACTGTGGTGATTTGTTTCAAGACGTGAATCTAAAATGAGAATCGATACCACACAAAACTGTATAGCGGTTATAACTTACAGGAAGAATTGATCAAAGTCATCTTTGACTTATTTAATAGAGAGTTGGCTGTGAAATTGGAACATATATTTAGGAAATGAAAATTCGCTGCAAACTTCCTACAAAAGGAGTGTCTATAGGCATATTTTAACTGTATTTGCCTGCCATTGGGCATAATTTCTCTTATACCACCAATAACATCCATATGAGTACTACATGTCACGAACCAACTCTACAACACTTTAGTTGTCAACTTCCATAGTAACTTTTCCAATCTCAACTTAAAGCTCTGTTTGGTTCGTTTTTTCATTGGTTTTTTCAGAATTTTTAATTAATGTATGTTTCATCCCGACATACTTTTTTATTTTTTCAATACAAATTTTTACATTTTTAATATATCTTTTTATATTGCCGATACAAAAAAACACACTAAAAAACGATCCAAATATAGCAAGATTCAATTTTTGGAACAACTACTTAGCGCGGATAGTCGAGTGAATATCAATATTCACCAAAAAAAGAAAAAAAAAAACGCTGTCAATAGCTTGAATGTGAAAATTAGAAAGCTCAGAAAATGTAAAGGATAAGCTGATCAGATGTCCTTGCTGAACATTTGGAAGATGATGAATTTGTCGCCTAACACAATGCATCATCCAGCAAGAAAAGTCCGAATTGGATTGACTCATCACGAACGTCATTGTTAGGTACTAACTTTTACAAGCCAATTATTGATGCAAATGTGTGAGGACTGATGGATCAATTGAAATTGACTACAACTCTACCAGCAGACTCTCGAATAACCTTTACCCTACGTCGAAGGATTCCCTGATTATGATAAACTTGCATTCTGTTCTGCCACAGACTCGCAGTGCAACCATTCCCCTAGCATTCATTCATGAATCACATATTTTCGTCCTGCCTATCATGGAATTTAAACGTATTCTATTATTAGAATTTGTATATTCTCCAAAAATAATATCATCCAATTTCATTTTTTCCATACGAAATAGAATGAGGCGTGTTAAACGAGCACATACTAAACTCGATTTAGTTTCGCCTCTGCTCGAATTGCATCTATTTCTAGGACAAAATATCTCTCAAAATTGGTTTGATTTTCTAATGGTTTTTCACAGTTTTTAACTAATAATTGTTCCATTGCATCATATCTTTTTTACATTTCTAATACACTTTTTTTCACATTCCAATAGGAAAAATACTTAAAAACACACATTAAAAAAAACAATCTAAACATAATAGTATACGAGATAGACAAATCATCATATTGACGAGGAACTAAAATCTCATTCAATTTCTGACCTTTAGAAATACATAAGGTACAATCATTACGTTAACTATTTTACTACTAACTACATTTTTTCAGCACTACTTGCAGCTTGAACCTCATCAACAAAAGCCTTAAGATTAACATTGGATGACCCACCATCTTTAGCAGCATCAATAGCCAAGCCTCTCCATTTTGCAGCATTATTTCTCATCTCTTCACTTTCCATAACAATTTCTAACCCTCTCCTAATCTCATCAGCCTCAATAATCCCTTCTTCATTAGCCACAGCCCTAATCCCAGTCTTCCAAACATCTTGAATCAGTTTCACATTTGTAGTCTGATCAGTCCATTGAGGAATACCGAAAACTGGAACCCCACAAACCAAGCTCTCAATTGAAGAATTCCAACCACAATGACTCAGAAAACACCCCACTGAAGAATGTGACAAAACCTCAACTTGTGAACACCATTCAACTATCATCCCCTGTTTCTCCAACTCATCTCTGCACCCCAATTTATCCTCTGATTTCTCACCATTTTTGGCTTTTCTAATCACCCACAAGAATGGCTTCTTGCTCTGCAACAACCCTTTTCCAATTTCTTCCATTTGCTTCATTCCCAACTCAGAGTAACTCCCAAATGCAACATAAACCACAGAATTCTTATCCTTTGAGTTTAGCCACTCAATTACAGAGTCTCCATTAGAACTGTGAAGCAAATCACCTCCAAATGATGCATCAAAAGGGTCTTTCCCATCAAGATAAGCTGAAGGAACCAAAGGCCCAACTGCAACAAATTTGATTTTCTCAACAGCCCTTAATGCTTCCACCTCTAAACCATCAAAACTGTTAACAAGAATAGTGGGACGATCGCCATGATTCTTTTCAAGTACCTCAAAATGTTTCTTCATTGACGGCAGAGCAAAGTTGTAAATATCAGGGTTGGATTTGAGTAAGAAAGAGGGAAGATCTCTGCTAGTTAACGGCGGCAGCCCGGGTAATTCGATTATCGAATTCGTCTCATCACATTCACCAATAATTTCACCGTACTCATGGAAATAGTGGTAGTATATAACAAACAGGGCAGCTGGTTGAATCCAGAGAAGTGTTGATGGAATCTTCAGTTTCTGGATAAGTTCACCAACCCAGGACATTAAAGTGCTGTAAACAACATGAGTAACTGGATGTCCTTCTTTTGCTTGCTCCATGATGAGTTTTTCCAGGTTTTTGGACCCAATTGTTACCAGAGTAGTATAGTAATGTCTGAAATCTTGGACAGAAGCCCAGCCATCATCATAACCATCTGAGAATGGAACAATGGTCAAATTCTTTGGTAAGGAGACTTCAATCTTGTTCATGCGAACAATGGCGGCAAAACTCGTTGCAAAGGTGACTTTAACACCGGATTTGGCTAGGAGTTTGGAGAATTGGAGGGTTGGATTGATGTGGCCTTGGGCTGGAAATGTAACAACAAGAAAATGACAGTTTTCCATTGTAAAGAAGTAGCCTTTTTAGGTTCTTTTTTCTTGTGGTGGATTTAGGCTTTCAGCAATCAACAGTGTGAGATTGTGTGATATGGAGAATGGAAAATGGCTATCTGGGATTTATTAGAGGGAAGCCATTTTTTTTGGTGACGTTTGAGATGACACAATGTCATTGTTTCATTTATCTAATCAATTTTCTAGAACAATAAAAAGGACAAATTATTTGAATGGCCACAATAACTATCATCAAATTGAAATCAATTTGGCTACTCTGTGCCTCTGTGGATGTTAAACAGAGCTTAGCAATAGTTATGTCTTAGGATTCAGGACAAAGTTATCTGCACAACCTGTGTCATCAGGCACAGGTTTATTATCAACCATAATTCAGAAAGAAAGCATTTTGCAGTGTCAAAGTTATCAGCCTTTGTACGTCTTCTTTTTGGTTTCAAGACAATAATGATATAGTACACTGTAATGAGACTGTCCTTTTCCTCGTAACCTAGTACTTGACGGGTCCAATATAAGCAGTCCTCAACCATGGCCGGTCCAAGTTTGAGAAATGATCCAACCGACTATTCGGAAGCTTATGGCCGGTCCAAGTTTGAGAAACAATCCAACCGACTATTCAGAAGCTTCTAGGTCGGTTCTTAATTACATTCCCACCAAGAAAGGGTTTCATAACCCAGCTTTATAAATAGGGATCAACCCCTCCAATCAAAGGTACGCTCTACGCACCACAATTCATACCCTATTACAATTACTCTTACTGACTTAAGCATCAGAGTGTCTTCGGGAGACCCCGAGGCCCTCTTTTGTAGGTTTTAGGGTTTTGATATTATAGCCGCCGGTTCAATCAACTGGAGACATCGATACAAATTCATGCTTCGTCAAGTGACACGCCCAGTAGAACCCTCTAAGAGTTCCCCTCTCAACAAATTCTCTGACAAAGAGCTATTAGCGATGTCGACATCTTCTTCGATTTCCGGAGAGGCAACGGTGGTTAGATCTCATCTACCAATTAATACAACTCTTCAGCAAAAAATCAATTTGTTGATCGGCAAACGGCCAGCCCTCATAGCCAACACTAGCTCAGCTAAACGTGGCACCTAGATTCTACTTACCATGACAAAGTTTTAATTTTTCAATACTAATCAGATTTGACATAACTTGGTTGCACATCTCGTAACTTTGCTTTATTGTCAAGAAAAGCATGTGGATTAAAGAAAACACTACATGTTTTAGTTTATGATTAAGTTTGTCTCTTTTATTGTTTTACTTACCATAAAATTAATTAGACAAAATTTTATTAGAAGACCCTCAAAGACCATGAAATCCTTTTCGAAATCAAACTCTCGTACGAGTTTGATGATAATGGTCAGATTGGTCATATATCAAAATCCCCATGGTTTCATATCCTTTTAGGATTGCAGCTGACGAAGCATGAATCTGCACGGTGCTTTAGAACGGGCGGCGGTGATGATCTAGGTGGCGGCGGACAACCTAAAACCTACAAGATAGAGCCTCGGGGGTCTCCCGAGGGTAGACTCTCCGATACTTAAGTCAATAAGGGAATAAAGAGACTAGAGAGAGAAGGATGTGTATCGTGTGTAGAAGGTGTTGAATATAGGTAGAAGATATGAATTATGGGAGAGGCACCACCACCTCTTTATATAGAGGTGGTGTTACCTGTTTCCTGAAATCCTAACGGAATAGGTTTAGGCGGTGGCTTAATTTCCAAGTAATCTAATCCTAGGCCCAATAAGCCTAGGGTTAATTTATGACTCGTCAAGTGCCCCTAGCAAGCCATATTCTCGATACTTGATGAGAAGGATATGGGTTGCTACAAGTGTTGATGTCTTCTCGAGTTTCGTGGTGTTGCCCCAGTTCTCGAACTCTTTCTTTCTCGGGTATCACCTATATAAGATAAAGATAATAAAATGCCTAGAGGAGGTCTTTGTGTTAGCGAGTTCTTTATTAGAAGGGGGAAGCCTGTTTATGCCGAATTAGGAGGATGGCGCCTAGATTCTCTTATTTGAAGGGGAGAAGCCTTTTTTCTCTTATTTGAAGGTGAGAAGCCTTTATTGCCTGTCGTGCAGGTCTTTCGTCAATATGCAATTTCACTCAAAAGGAGAATAATGGTATTAGTAATATATGAATATAGATTCGAGAAACGTATTTAGAAAAGGTTTAAGATGTACCTCGATCTCAAGATAAATTAATTATTCGAGAAAGTGTTACCTCGATTCCGAGAAGGTAGTTGTTGAGTAGATAAAAGTCGAGATACATCTTCTCAAACACTTCAAGGAGTATTATTGTGCTCGAGGTATGCTTGCCCCTTCGAGGAGATGTATCTCTCAAAATTTCAATTCTCGAAATTGCCCCTTGCTTCGAAGAACTTGAGAGCTTATATGGATTTGCGCATCAAATCGACCCGATGATCATCGTAAAGCACCAATAAATTTCAACTTCGTTTCAAGAAATTTATTTGGTTGTGAAGACCAAACAAATCGGTCCCACCGGGTGTGCCATTTGACGAAGCATGGATCTGCACGGTGCCTTAGGACGGGCGGCGGTGATGATCTAGGTTGCGGCGGACGGCCTAAACCTGCAAGACAGAGCCTCGGGGGTCTCCCGAGGGTAGACTCTCTGATGCTTAAGTCAATAAGAGAATAAAGAGAGTAGAGAGAGAAGGATGTGTATCGTGTGTAGAAAGTGTTGAATATAGGTAGAAGATATGAATTATGGGAGAGGCACCACCTCTTTATATAGAGGTGGTGTTACCTATTTCCTGAAACCCTAACGGAATAGGTTTAGGCGGTGGCTTAATTTCCAAGTAATCTAATCCTAGGCCCAATAGGCCTAGGGTTAATTTATGACTCGTCTGCAGTACCCATGAAGATAATTTCGAAAGTAATTTTAAAGGAAGATCTATATTAAGGTTTTTGAAACTTAATTTCACGAAAGCTTTGTCCGTTCCTCTAAAAGTTCATATGATGTGATTTCTAGATTGTAATTAATCAACCGTTGTATAATTACAACTTTCTGCTAAAGTTATCTCATGAACTCATAAATTGGCCTACGAATTCATTATTTTGGTTGGAAGAGATAGGTTCTTGATTATCGAAATCACGTATATAAACACGGGATATTAGTGTGTTTAAGTCTCTCACGCATGCCTATTATATTTTATTATCCCAAATCATTAAAGCTATGGCAAATTATTCTTGCTTTCTTTGACCGAGAGGAAATATTAGCCAAGGCACAAAAAGACTCAGTTCGTTATCTTGCAACGAGTTTCATATTTACTCGAGGTCCGACGCTCATTCCTGCTTGAGAAGTTTGGTTGAAGAAACTTCACAACATCCTCGAACCACATAAAACCAAGATGCAAATCAGCCGACAAAGGCTATGGAACCTTTAGTTACAGTAGAAATTCAAGCAGCCGCAGTTGCTCGATAATGATTCTACATCTTCACAAAATCATAGAACGGTCCCTAATAATTTCATTATTTATACTCCGATGCTAAATCTTCTGATTGTGTAGAATAGTCCCTGGACTATCAAAGGACATAGCCGAACGAAATTCTCTTTAACTAAGCAGAATTTATGATTCAATCCTTTCAGATATTATTTATCATTCTTGCTTCTAATGGTTTCATTGTTTTTCATACAACTCTTGACTTAACAGTAAGGGGGCGACCTGATATCTCAAAGGTCCCATCTCCTTGAAGAGGGGCTCAACTTCCTCAAGACTTGCGCACAAGGCTACTCGGTTGTTTCCTGCAGTAAAAGCTGAAACACTCATTCCTACATAATTGCACGAGGCGGAGGCTTTAATGACAGATAAGTTATTGTAGTCTTCTATCATAAATAAGTCCTTGTCATACATTATTGCCTTCCGACCTTATTCAGTTAGAAGGTGACAAATTTATGTCTCAAACATCATTATGCATAAATACACATGCTATGCCTCTCCGAGCCTATTGTTGCTACAAAATCATAATAGTAACATATCGATCGTATTTTACCTGATTAGGTTTCTTGCATACTTATATGAATCAATACCTCTTTGCCACCACAACAAACATGAAGGCTTTTGAAAAGTATTTCAATAACATTACAAATTGAATTGCATGCATAGCTACTTGATTTTGGGGTACTACTTGCCCTATTCTTGTATGAGAACATGACATTCGCATGCTTACTTCATTTTAAGCAGTGCACAATTCTTATTTGCTCACCAAGGGTCCAACTACCCTAATATTAGAACAACTAATGTTTTGTCCAAAGTGAACAGTTATGCAAACATAACTCGATTTTCCGAGGGACCGAGGGCACATACAGCCGTGATCACACAAATGGTCCCTGTGACAAGAGTGGAGACAACCTCCTCGACTGATTTGAAAAGAGATAAGTAGCCCTAAACTTACTCGTACCATGTTACCATATTTTTAACTGGACTTCTATAACGAATGCAATTCGGTTTATGCTCTTTAAATTACATAGCGCCTCTCTTGAGGTAATCTAACCAAATGTATACAGTTATAATAACTTGCTCGAGCGTGGCACAGTTGTAGTACTTAGTTTTGCAGGTCTTACAATAAGACAATTCGGGGAGCATCCTTCTCAAATCACGAAGCAACCCATTCCAAGGGGCAATGACCTGCTCGAAAAGGGAGATAAGTGTTACTATCTCCTTGGCATTTACATTTTCTCTGGATACTATCTCCTTGAACAAATGGTATATACACCCTGGAATTAGGGAATAATCGAATGAGTTAATCGTTAACTTATTCTTCATACATGTGCAAATTTGCTAACTTTTGTATCATCAGCAATTACCTAGCCCTCACACGCATCAAAACTTAAGATAAAATCATAGTCATGAAACTCATGCTTTCTCGAGTGGAGTTTAATTGCTATTTACGATCTAGATCTTGACAGTAGCACATTATATAAATTGCCTCCATATTTCTCGAGAAGTTGCTAATGTATGATCTTGAGAATAGTAATGCAGGACCTTTTATCATAAAGGCATGCTCGAGTTTTGGGAGAACTTCTTCCTGTTTTTGCAGAACTTGCAGAAATATGAGAATGGGGATAGTCCCTCTATGATGCGAGATTGTAATCAGGCCACAGTAGCCTCGGACAAATGAAGGACCGATACACGGTGCATGTCAAGAACGAGTTCCCTCGAAAATAATGAGGAGTCTCTCGACAAATGGGTATTACTACTCTAACTTGTGGATACCTCTGGAAGAGTGTCAACAGATAAGTGATACAATAATTGCTTCAATATATGAACACCCGCATCATAACATGAATGTTACGATAGTTCATAAGCATGGAATAATTGTTCTAGCACTCCTATTATGCCACATTAGACATATGAGTTTCTTGAACCTCCTCAGAGTCCTTGAACTTTCACATGCAAACTTCTTGCATGAAAAGTCTTTCTCAGATGCATGATTTATTTACCAATTAGTTTCCTCATGGCACATTAGTATTGAAACATGACGTTACAACTTTTACATATACATGGCTTTGTTTACTCTCTATGCGTAAATGTTCCGACCAATCTTAAAGTCAATACCAAGGTTATGTTCATTTTCTTTCGAAAGGGGGAAGATACCTCTCTCGTACTTACAATTGCCGGTAATATGCTCTAAAGGTCATAGTGCAAGATGGTTCCTCTTCCTTGAGCCCGGAGTCACAATGGATCGTTGTGTTTACTCTACCGTACAACTAACTTGAAGTTGCTATCCCAAAGCCGCAAAGACTTTCACATCTGATGGTCCAGCTCCATGAAAAATCTCTATGACTCTTCAGGGGTCCATAGTAAGTACAAGTCCGAGGAGAAGCATTGCATGGTCTCCGCAGCATTCTTTCATAGCTGTTGTGAGCTAACCAAACCATGGCTTCAATAGCCTTGCTCATATCGTGGTGAGATCTTTTCACTCTGTATATTTTGTATCTCAAAATGACTGTTTTTGAAGGGGGTAGACTCTCCCAATACTATATTGAATTCCATGTCATTTCTCGTGCTTCCATAATTTATTACGCAACTTATAAATCTACGAGTATATGAGTAGGTATTTTGTTAGGATCAGAGAACTGTGGTGGTTTATCATGGTGCCTGTACTCGAGAAGCATCACCATCAGAACACTACATCCTCGATAATTACCATGAAAGGATTCGGACGAATCCTTCCTTCTAAACTAAGGTACGCTCGAACGAGCCTTTAGGTGTGCATCCTTGATCAAGGAGAACGTCATATTACACTTGAGTGTTTTTATGTGCTTATTAAATGAATTTCTTACTGCTTGCATAAACATATTATTATACTTGCAATACATGTCTCAGACTAAGTTGCAGGATGAATATAGCCCGAAAACTCTGGGGCAAAATAAGCCGAGATGTGTAACTCTTGCAGCTGATCTCTCGAGGATAGTAGTAACATCAAGCTTGCTATGGCCTTAGAGTGTTCATACTTTAAACCAGGGATATAGACTATCAGTCTAATGCACATAGTGTGCCCACTCGAGTCTCATGGGAGCTGGTGTACCACATATACCCAGTTACACCCAGCTAAACACGACTAGTCATTTGAATGGACATCCTCTTCAGGACCGTTCTCGAGACGGACATCCTTTTCAGGACCGTCCTTGAAAGTGCCGTGTATTCAACATCCGGACATTCATTGGGTCATGCTACACTTAAATATTATGAGTAACAGTCTAAACTCGAGGAGCTCGTATCCAGTTTCCTCGCGGATATCCTCTTCAGGATCGTCCTTGAAAAGACATTCTCTTCATAATCGTCTATACAAAGGTATCCTCTTTAGGATCGCCCACGAAAGAGCCGTGTATTTAACATCCGGCCATTATAAGTGCTTTACAAATAACTCCTAAGCCGTGTACTCGACATCTGGTATTGAGAAAGGCCTAGATTGTCATGTACAAGAACAAGGGGTAGACTATCCCTCAAACCGAAACAAACGTGTTTTATACCTCAATAAGAACTAGACTCGTTCTCGAGTATACTTTCTTGGATCGATCTATCATATCATCCAATGCATCAGAACGAAAATGACTTTATTCTCGATGTTTTCGAGTTCACTTTGTGCCTTGTCAACACAGGCCTATTTTTTTGATTATGGCGGTTGTCATCCATCTCCTTCTGATAGACTCCATTTTATTGCCTTAACCCTACGAGTATGGGGGCTTCTTGATTAGGCACCGCCTTGAACTGAGTAGCAGAAATTACACTCTCATCTAAAAGTCTCGGTCTACCAAATGCCACCCCAAGACTTGGGGGCTCCGACATGAGTAATGGTTTCGGGGTTATCTATAACGAGGAACGTTTGTATCTGAGAGATTGTAAGATGTCTGGAAGATGTGTAAGGTGTCTGAAAGGTGTTTAAGGTGTTTGGGAGGTTGTGTTTTTTTTTTTCGTGATGATCTTAGGTCTACGGATCTCTTTCTATGAGTTTTCTCGACGGCCTTCAATTAATGCTCAGACTGGGGCATTGTTTCTTCTCACACTAAATGCGTAATAACTCCTCGATTCTTGCTCGAACCTCGGGCAACGACGTTATACATCTATTCGGGTTCGACACATCAACCTGATTTATACTTCTCAAACCCGGACAAAGGGTTCTATGCTTTATTTCCCGAGACATGAGAAATGGCAAGCGGGTCGATTGGGCGGATATAAATAAGCTTAAATGCTTGCGTACCTTCTTTAAGGTCAGATGGTTACAATTCTTGAGTTTTGTCTGGAGTTCTACCCGAGAGAATCTTCTCAAGTCTCACTATCCCTGCATTGACGTGATCACTTGCGGTATTTTCTACGGTATCTTTTACTCTCTTCTGTCCCTCTTCGATAATCGAGGATTCTTATGGTGACAGTCTCTACTCTCTAATGCTGAATCACACTCGAACTGGTCTTCTCGAGTCTTCGAATTTCTTAATAGGAGATCATATTGGGGCAAGTTCTTGACGTGCAATTCGACCCAGACAATATTCTTTCTCAAACTTATGTCCTCGACATCGAGTATCTTCATGCTTCTCGATCCACTACTCTATGGACGTTCTTGAAGGTTTGGGTCTATTACCTCTCGATCAGAACCATATCATAGTTCTCCAGTAGACTCCTCACCTCGACAGTTGATATATCTTAGCGCTGCTAATTACATAAATTTTGAGACTAGTGGGAATCTCCACTACGTTTACTTCTCGATTATCTCATCAAGTAGGCCATCTGCTTTGATATTTCCATGGAGAATATTGTAAGGACTTCTAGACTGATGTCTGGGTCAATTGCAATCTTCAAACAAATTCTTCATTCTGGCAGTCGTTGTACCTTCGAAAGTTATTGATAACGCATCTCTGTATTCAGTGTAATGGGAATCTCCATTACACTTCTTTATTACCTTCTCAAGCAACAGTGCATCTGTCTTAGTATCTCTCTGGAGCAGAATATTAAGATCATCGCATGTCGACTTCTCCCTCGAAAGTTTGAACTGATGACTCTTCTTTCTTTACAAATTGGCATATATGTCAATCGCCCTTTATGACACGTACATTCGAAAAGGTACACGCTAATGCTTTCATTACTTTGATTTCTCCTCGATGCTAACCTGTCACAGGTTCTCGATTCAAGTCAGTTCTTCCCGAACTTGAGGAAAATTTATACTTCATGTTATCAAGTCTACACTATCTCCAGACCTCGTAACATAGGCTTGATAGGGGCACTTGACGAGTCCAATATACGCGGCCGGTCTAAGTTCGAGAAACGATCCAACCGACTATTTGGAAGCTTCTAGGTCGGTTCCTAATTACCTTCCCACCAAGAAAGGGTTTCATAACCTAACTCTATAAATAGAGATCAACCCCTCATATCAAAGATATGCTCTACGCATCATAATTCATGCCCTATTACAATTGCTCTTATAGACTTAATTATCGAAATGTCTACCCTCGGGAGACCCCGAGGCCCTCTTTTGTAGGTTTTAGGGTTTTGATAACGCCATGGCTGCCGGTTCAATCAACTAGAAACGTCGGTGCAGATTCAGTACTAATGTAATTAACCATTTGAATCTTACAATTCTGGATTCGTTTTTTACTGGTAAAAATTGGCTTTTGTAAGTTGTATTACCAGATCCAGATTGAGCAATTGCAATGAAAATAACCGAAAATTCAACAGCATTCTTCAGCCTTCCTATGAGGGAATCAATCATCAGCGTGAGATCATCTTCAAAATCTCCTCTATGTCTTCAACTAGAACAAGAGAGTTTACGGGTGCCCACCACAAAATGATTCATCCTTTTGGAAACCTTCCAAGTCATCTGAAAACCCATAAAAATAATGGATTGGAATACCTAATGATCCGACAAGATACCAGCAGATGAACCATCTGAAAAAGCTTAAGGCCTTCCAAACTAATAAGAAAATGGAAGTTTTCTAATAGATCCAAACTTCGAGGATTCACCACATCTGGTAATGAATCATCACCCTTGAATTTTTAAGCCCCAAAAAATCAAATCAACCTTCTAACCAGTAACTTTGTTTTGGCTGCCTAGTATAGATTTATGTTATAAATTCTTTCTATTTGGGAGTGTAGCTGTAGCAGGTAGGGCAAGCACAAGAAGTTTCACGGCTTCAATAACTACTGAGTACTGAAATCATTGGGCATCTTCGTTCACTATTCTATTGTGAAGTGAGCTTTTTGCAACGATCTTTAGAATTTCAATGGCTCCATCAAACCTCGTACGATCACAATTTTCTTAAGCCGTATTTCATCGTTGTTCGATAGTATATAGGAAGACTGACCTTTTGGTCTCTCAAAATGAAAGTACCACTTCTGACGAAATTACCGCCAAATTGCAAATAGTCAAAAAGGAACTTTGAAATGAACACCACTTGACAACTTCAGCAGGAAGTACCTTTGGGATAGCTGGGATTAGGCTCTTTTCTATTATTTTTTCTTCCGTAAGGAGAATTTGATTTTGTTCATGCGACTAAGTGTAACATTAGCTCCTCGGAAACAGTACTTTCGAGCCGGATTTTGGAATGTAACAATGAGAAAATGATATTTCTTCAGTGTAGGTGATATTCACTAAAAATGCAAGCTTTTTATCTTCTTTGGCGAAATTTTGATGTTTTTAGGCTTTCCTCAATCAATAACGAGAGACAAAAAAAAAAAGGACAAATAAATTGTTTCATCCAAATAAGTATAGTCTTAAGATCATTATCAAACCCAATTCAGAAAGAAAACATTTTGCAATTCCAAGTTTTTAGCCTGCAAACATCTTTCACTTTCAAAGATAATACATACCAGCATGAGATGATGGGATCATGAAAGAAATCCTAGGAGAAACCAGTTATTTGACTTGTTCATAATTCATTAGTACTCCTCATGTCCTTTTTTTGAGACGGGAATTTTCCTCCTCAAGGGCGGCGATGCGATCTTCTTTGGCTTTCAGTTCAGCAGCATTCCTTCTGTTTACCATATCTACCTCTGCTTTCAGAAGTAAGCACTCTTGGCAAGCCTTATCCCTGGCTATTTGAGCCTCTTTTAGTTTTTGGGACAGTTCAGATATCTTCTTCCTATCAGCTTCACTTTGCTCTTGAAACTTGGAAACGCGATTTGGAATTTCATTGAAGCATTGGAGAAACTACGCATGAAATCGCAGAACAAATCATTATCATTGAAAAGCACTCTCCACTATGTTGAACTACTTTTAACACAACATAAATGGACTTTTAGTATGTGACGGACTGACTGGTCCCTAACAAGAAGCAAATTAGAAAGTACCTTGTTTAAAGAAGAACGTGCTCCAGCGTGAAGCTCCTCATTGCTCATAACACCAAATTCCGTTGTATTGTAAGTTGGAACCTTAGAGGGGCTTCCACGAAAAATAAAACCCTTTTCAGGGGGGATCTACTACTTCTGGAAGAGGTGTACGCGTATTCCTTTTCCTTTTTGGACCATCCCTTCTCCTAGGTGCTTCCCCATTAAGCCTTCCTGCAAGAACCAAGCAGATGGTGAGTTTGTTGAGTCACGACCAGCATAGAGAACCTCTTTTCTTTTTTGAGGAAAAATGGAAACATCAAGAGCACAATTTCGCTACTTGCAGAAGGGGACTAACCATACAATTAGATAGGTGACCCAATTGAACATATAATATTTCCAAGTGACGAGCTACGACAGAGAAGTTTTTATAATCTTTACAATCTTCACAGGGCATATAATGTTTCTATCACATCAAAATATTACCTTGGTTATTAAGGGTGGGTTCACCTATGACTGTAGCATTAGTTTGCAAAGGATTCACTGTTGGTGTCATTGGGTATTTTCTCTCCATGATCAGCATTTTCATAGAGATATTTCTTAGATATTCTAACTGCAATAATGGGAGATTGAATCAAATGAAAAATATATGGCACATATCAATGTTTTCCAATGAAAAAAGGGCTATCAAAACCAACATCATGAACGACAAAAGAAAATAATTCAGCTAAGCATTTAATCAATTAGCCTGCGGACCTGACTTGGTGCAGAAATATATATTTTTTCCTCAAAAGACACAGCCATTTTCTTCAACTGTTGCAATCCTTCTTCCCCAGAAAAAGGAATACGCCTCGTCAAATTGTCCATTCTGCAAAATATGCCACTCAAACTCAAAATAAAAACTTTAAAATCCACGCATTTAAACCCCAATCAGATTATGCTCCTTCGACGAAGTTCCAAATATCATTAGGCCAACCTATATGCTCCGAATACTACACACTAAACAGTGCCTTCATCAAGTAGAAATCAAAATTCACTTTGAAGTAACAACAAAATTTTGTTTGCCCTATATAAGCAAAAATCGATCATCCCATATTACGAGAATCAATATATGTGATCCAATAGATTTCTTCATTAATTTGTATACGATCCAATTGAAATCTTGAAAAGAGGAATTCAAAATGGCAACTATCCTTCAAGAGATTCTGAAAGAAAACGGAGCACGAACACAAGAGAACCCAATTGACTTGAATAGCGAATGAGGGAAATTGAAACAGAGGAAGTACGTAAGAAGACGAGATCATTACATTATTTCTCTAATTCTCTCACGGGAATCGGGTTGAAGCTGAGTCCTCCAATCGGCGGCAACCGTAAAAGCTGCCGGAAAAGCCATCTTCTGAGCTTTTGATGAAATGTGCAAAACACGATTGCTTCACCGTTTTCAGCTTCGCCTGGTTATAATAATCTATGAGCCGTTGAATTTATTTTTGGTCTAAAAAAATAATAAATAAAATTATCACGCAGGTTAAGGGCCAGCAAGAAAACCATGTCATGTATTGTACCGGGACTAGATTGCTGTCAATTAATAGTTTAGGAACTTTATTGTAAATTAAAAACTATGTTGACTATAAACAGTCAATCAGGCCCTGAAACAGAATATCGAAAATACTATAATTTGTTTTGTTTTTGGCGGAACTACATTTTGCCCCCCGAGTTTTAGCCTCCTAACAAAATATACCTTGAGTTTTAGTAATACTACGAAAACCCCCTCACCTTTGCTTCAACTAACCGAATGATCCACTGTAGTCGGAAATGTGACATCACAGGCTGACATCATCAAGTTTTGAATCTGAACTGACTAAATTAACCTGCTGTAAGTTGCTTTTATTTTGTTTTACAAACATGCTCTTACCCATTTTACTCTATTCATTAAATGATTAAATCATCATCATCAAGAACTAATTTCCCCCACCCCTTCCAATTTCCATCATAAAAAATACCCTTTCTTTCCACCCTCTTCATCCGCATCATCATTTAAATAAGCCTCAATTTCTGCTCACCTCTCACATCGATCTCCTCACCATCTTCATCATCATCCAAACGAAACTCTTAATTTCTCCTTACCCCATTATTATTATTATCAATTTTCCTAATCAAAGGCGAGTACCCGCCGCAAATTAGTTTTGGTCTGAATGAAACAAATCACCGGTAATTTCTTTGCATTTAAAAGAAATATGAAAAGTTTAGAGGTGCACTGAGTTGGTTGCGGAGTAGATTTGGAAACTAGTACAGTGAGGGTTTCGGGTTCGTTAAAGTTTAGATAAATATGGGTGCAGCTTTGTTATTGATAAAAAAAAAAAAAAGTCAAAAGATAACGATGAGTTTGGCGATAGAGATCTCTTCATTTGTTGATGTTGTTGGAGAAAGTTTTCGTGCTTGTTTGGACGTCATCTTACATTTTCATTTTGCCAATTAAAAGTGAAAAGTGTTTCAATTAAAAATTATATGAGAAATGAAAATGTTATTTGGATGGTATTTTGAGCAAAAAGTTGTTTGGATATTGGTTTTGAAAAAAATATTTTAAACTCAATTTTGAAATATCAAGCACGAATCATCACTAAACAATTAAATACTGTCAATTATAGTCATTTTAAAAAAGAACTTTTCCAAAAACAATCACTAAACAACAGAAACCTGACAAATTTGTCACTCTAAGATTTTCTTTTGTTAAATTTCGTCACTAAGTTACTTCTTTTTCAAAAATGGTCATTACACTAACAAAAAATGTTTCAAGTTAGAATTTAAAATGTAAATCAGAAAGTTAGTTGGATGATGTTTTTTTTTCCATTGGATTTTGTGTTTAAGAGGTAAAATGAGTTAAAATATAAAATCAGTTAGACCAACAAACAAAGCCTTCATCCTTTGGGGGATTTTTCATGGAGATAAATTGTGGGTATAGTGGTGGTTGGTCTGGGGCAAAAGTGCAGTAGGTAGAAATTTTGGGCTTTGGACGGCGGCGGTGGGTGGTTGCAGCCTGCAATTAACCGAGAAAAAAAATCGATTTATATTTAGGCTTTTTTTTCTGCCACTAATTTTTTCAATTTTTTGGCCAGAATAACGATGGGCTTTTTTGTTATTTTACAAATTTCCGGCGTTGACTTAACGTTTAACCCTGTCAAAAGGAAAAAATGTAGTATTACTAAAACTCAGGGTGTATTTTATTAGGAGGCTAAAACTCGGGGGAGAAATGTAGTTTGCCGTTTTTTTTTTGTAAAAGAAAAATATTCAGTAATATTGAAATATATTTTTCTGAAGTTGTGGAGGTTTTCCCAATTCAGGATTTGACGAACTCTAAACCGTCTCCTTTCTTTCTCCGGTTTGTCGGATTTTGTCCATTTCCACTCATTACCTTGCTGGTAGCTGAGAGCCCATGGGCTCATTACCCATCGGTGTCCAATGAATTTTTATCTACAAAAGTCTGTTCATGAATAAATAAGGGCTTGGATGGGTTCGGATAATAGTTGAATTGGATGAGTTTGGATGATCCATGAATAATTCAAATATCCAACTAATGGTTAAAAACAAATCTGATTGTTTAACATTTGGTCAAAGGAAACTGCAATCATTGCAGGATATGATTCAAAGCCCCGCTTCCAAGATTCAAGATCTTCAGTTCTCTCCTTCAAACACGTTATACACGTCAACATGATTTTTTGTGCTATTTTAGCCCAATTTATATGTTTGTGTTTATCCTTTTTTTTTTCTTCATGTTTTTTTGTGCTATTTTAGCCCGATTTATATGTTTGTGTTTATCCTTTTTTTTTTCTTCTTGTTTTTCTCTCTTACTCTATTCTCTTTTTGACGAAACCGGCAACATAAGAAAAAAACTGAGCAAGAAGATTTTTAAGGAAAAAATGTCAATCTTGAAGCTCATTTATTTAGAATAAAAACACATGTTGGGTGAAAGACCACAACTTTCGTTTAAGACAAATGTGATTGTTAATCGGACTTCAAAATGACCCACCAAAAGGCCACCCACCAACACAACACATTATAGAACTAATAACTTTTTGAAGATGAAGCTGAAAAATTGAGCTGATTGGGAAATTCTAAACAAAGAAAAGATTGATTTGGATTCCCTATGGAGGGTTTGTATGTTAAAATAGTGGGGAAACTATTTAATTTTGGACTAAAATAGATGAAAATAGATAGTGATAATGAAAACAAGAATGAGCCTCAAATTTATTTTGCAGAGGGTAAAAAATAATTTTCAACAAAATGTAAAAATTATTTTTTCTACTAAGTTAGTGCGTTCTCTGAAAAATCTGGACTGAAATACAATCGAATTATCAAGGCCCAATAATTATAATAAAAGTGGGATTTTATCATTGTTAGCCAAAATGATTGATCCTGGTTATTAGTAGTTTATGAGTCCGAGCCTTATGTATAGGGAATAAACTTAGGGTATGTTTTGATCGTTTTTATTAGTGTATTTTTAGGTTTTTTTTTTTATTGAAAATATAAAAAAGTATGTTGGAAATATAAAAACATATGTTGGGATAAGACAGTTATTAATTAAAGATATTAAAACATGCATTGAAAAACCAACCAAACAGAACCTTAATGTGGCGATGCTGAACAAGATGTTAGAGTTCAACCCTTTGAAGATTGCGTCCTCACAAAGCACAACAAGCAAACATGTGGCCCACTCTCCCTTGAAATAGGACTTTAGAGGTGGCTCCCTTACTTCGCGCTTGTTTCATCCACGGACTTAGCAGTGTCTCTGCACTTGTCCTGTCAATGGCTCAAAGGTGTATCCGTACGTAATACTTAGCTCCTAAAATGGGGTCCGTGCTGATGCATTTGTCACGTCTTAGCCTCATAAACTGCCCGTTAAAATTCAGGCTTTCGTCATTCAGCTATTAGTAGTTTTTGAGGCCGATATTTATACACAAGTCATGATATTAGTAATCTAGCAATGTGGGACAAGATGTCACAAATGTTACGATATTCATTTTGTTATCTTTGTGAAAATTATAATTATGAGATGCGTCAAAAATAGATGACTAGAATACACGTACTTTTCACAAGTTATCGAAAGACCTATCATAACTAAATTTGTCAGTGCCAGATACTAACTATTTGATTAGCTTAGTGGTCGCTAACAAGCATGTTAGGCCAGAAGGTTAGGGTTCAATTCTTCTCTCCTTTCTCCAGTATAATTTTATTGTTTCTGGTTAGTTTGTACTTTGTTCAATTTATAATAAAATTAATTATCTCCCCCAAAAAAAAAAACCTGCCAAATCAATTTTTTCATTGTGATTCTTTTGTCTCTAATCATGATTTGCTTCACATCCAATTCTCCCTGAAAAAGTTTAAAATATCTCACCAGCGTAGGAGACCTTTCAGATTTAAAGCATTGTGGGTTAAATCATCCGATTGTGAGAGAATCATTGGAGAATCATGGTCTCAACCCTCTTTAAGCCTTTGCTTGAAACTAGAAACATGCGCCATTGGACTTCTGCATTGGGGAGGTCGAGAGGTGCATGGTATCCAGGAGAGAATTGAAATGTTGAGAAATAAAATTCGAAGTCTTGAAGTTGGTGTGATCACCGATGCAATAGAGGAAGAGCTTATAAGTCTTAATTCGCAATTAGAATCTCTTATGGACCAAGAGGATCTTAAATGGAAGCAAAGACGTAAGCAGCGTTGGTACCGAGAAGGTGATCGCAACATGAAGTTCTTTCATGCTTATGCCAGTAAAAGCCGTGAAACGAATCACATCTCTTCGCTGAAGGACAAAAATAGAGTGGAATGTACTTTACAAGAGGATATTGAGAAGATTATATTGGAATATTTCAGAGACATTTTTAGCTCTTCATGTCCTGGAAAAGGTGAGGTCCAACAAGCTCTTAACTGTATTTGTCCTAGGGTTGATGAAGACATGAATAGCCGGCTATTGATCCCTTTCTCGCACATTGAGGTAGTGAAAGCCCTAGAGCAAATGCATTCTTTTAAATCCCCAGGACCGGATGGTATGAGCCCTATCTTCTTAAAAAAATATTAGAATATTGTTGGTTCTGAAGTTATTTCTTTTGTTTTAAATTTCCTAAATGATAAAGTTTTTGACATTGCCATGAATCATACTTACATTGTTCTTATCCATAAAACAAAAAAGCCTGACCTTATCACCCAATTTAGAGCGATTAGCCTTTATAATGTGGTCTATAAACTTGCTTCTAAAGTAGCTAATCGGATTAGGACTGTTTTGCCAAAAATCTATCTCCTTCACAATCCGCATTCATTTCAGGAAGATTGATCGCTGATAACGTTTTAGTTGTATATGAAACTCATCATTATATGAGGTCAATATCTAGTGGTGGAAAAGGTCTC